CAGTGCGTCATTGTGAGGTTGCATGACTCCTTCTACATCTTCATCATTAAAGGACAGGGTTCCTATGGGTGCATAATCTTGAGTTCGAGATCGTTTTTCTCTTATAACTGACATCTTAGTGCGTTTAAGTACCGGCCCCTGAGGGGTATCGATCCCACTGATAATCATGTGGATGATGTGTTGTGGCTCTTCTTGTTCGTTCCATCTGTTGAAATCTCTGTCTTTGAAATGATTTTTGGCCCTGTCACTTAAAAATTCTCGAAGATGCCCTTTATTGAATAATCGGGCTACCTGCTCTCTTAATTGCCTGCAATCTTCCGTTATGTGGCCAAGATTGCCATGATATTCGCACATTTGATTGGGATTCCTCTGGGCAGGATCGGTCTGCATAGGTCGAGGCCATTTAGTATTTTTGATGCGTCCGATAGCTGACACGATAACGGATGTATCGATGCTGAAGTTTTACTCCGATAACCGAGGTGCTTCCCTGGGTCCGGTATTCCTGTCGAACCCATTCCTATTCATCAACCCCGGAGACCCTTGGCCTCGATCATTTCTTTTTTCACCTCGTGCGGGGTTGCGTGAAGGTTCTTTACCCCTACGATCTCCGTTATATGGCCGATATCGATCCTTGTTCTCCATTGGTTCTCGGTCGATGTCCCTTTTAGTATCGGACCCAGAACCTTACTGGTCGTCTTCAACTCTTATTTTGGATTGATATCGATTGTGCACATCGGCCCAAGTAATAGCTGGGTACTCGATCAAGTTATGCTTCAGCCACCGTGAAGCCATCGAGCTTCGTTCGTTTAGACCTTGAGTGAAAGCTTGAACAACCCAGTCATCTGTGACTGGTGGCAGATCCATTCGTTCCATTTGGAAACGAGATACGAATTCTCTTAACATCTCGTTATCCTTTTGTCTTACCTTGAATAGGTCCGACTTCCTGGTTTCGATCTTTATGGCCCCGGCATGTGCTTTTATGAAAGAATCTGCAAGCATAGACGGTAAATTATGATACCATATCATTGCTCCCTTTGACAGGGTTTCACCGAATATTTTCAACAATACAGATTCAATCTCATCGTCCTCTAGATCGTTCCCTTTGATGACACATGTGTAAGAGGTGAAATGCTCGTTGGGGTCGGTCGTTCCGTTATATTTAGGAATCTCAGGCATGCGAAACTTCTTTGGGATCGGTTTAGGAGCCGCGCTCGAGGGGAAAGGATTTTGTATGAATTTTTTGGAATCTAAGCCCTTCAATATCGGTGGTGCCCCCGGGATCTGATCAAGCTTGGAGTTATATATTTTCACTTTTTTGTCGTTTGCCTCGATCCTCCTTTCTCCTGACTCTATTCGTTTGGTCAGTTCTTCAAACATCTTAACAATTTCGGGATTAGTCCCTCATTCTTGCTCATTTGACCTTACTATAGCTGGCCCCATTTTGTGGGTGACTTCTTGGGGCGGACTGGGCTCGAGTCTGGTTGGTGCCAGGGTTTGGCTCTGCAACTGGGCTATTGCTACTTGTTTAGCTTGCAACATCTCGAAGATCATACGCAAGGTGATTCCGTTTTCCTCAATGTTTTGGGTATTTCGAGCTACAAACCGAGTTCCACCATGAATGTTGTTTTCAGGTTCGGAACATTGGTTCGCCTCAATGGACGCATGTGAATTGACGTCTATTGGCTCTTCGACACGAGCTCCAACGGTATCGACGAGTGGCCTTCCACTCCTGGGGGTTAAGTTGTTATTCTCATCTTGAAGGCCAGCTTCGTTGTCGATAGGTAGGGCCATTAATTGAGAATTTGTTATTTTCAACCTGAAATCAAAGATACTTTCGAGAGCAAGTGTAAAATGGTGTGTTTTGTAGAGATTCATACCAAACAACCACTGTTATCTTTAGCTCCATGGTGGGCGCCAAACTGTTTACCCGAAAAATAAATAGAGTTGAATTTGTACGTAGTTCTAAGGGTACGTGGTATAACTTGACATAAATCGTAGGAGTAAGTAGAGATATCGAATATTGACTATAAAGAAGAAAATACAAACCGAGTTGAAAGGATGATGATTTATGAACAAGCAAAAATAAAATTATGTGTGAAGCTCAATATGATAATCTCTTAATATGGGGATGTATCAACAGTATTTGAGTTACAGTGTATTCATGACTTGATGCCCCTTGCAGGAATAATAACCATCCCTCTTATAGTGGAGGGATCCTACTTTGGATATAATAAAAAATACATAGTGGGGAACCCATGATAAATCAGTTTTTCCCTAATTTCCGCCGAGATTCCCTTTCTTAGTGCAGCTGTAACGACTCTTGTCTCTTGGCTCAATCTTGATCGGACTTGGTATCGGTCGGTTTCTAGGCTTAGAGCGCGATGTGGGCTTGAGCTCGATATTAACTCGGGGTCTGGTATTGACTCGAGCTCAGTATTGGCTGGCCTCTGGCTCTTAAGCTCGATTCCATCGCTTCTCATCATAGTTCGATTTGGATTCGAGCTCGATAATGACTTCGAGCTCAGTATTTGATGTGTCCCTGAAACTCAAAGCTCGAGTGTTCCTTCTTCGGATCTCATCTCGATATTATGAAGACTCTCTTCGGTCCATTATGTTCTCATCTTGACCAGTCGTATGAAGGCCGAAATCGGTTTCGACCGTATACACCTATATATATGTATATTTTTATATAAAGTTTCTAAACTTTTATGGTACATATTAGTCGTTTGTATTTTTAATCTAGTTCTTTGCTATTATAAAACTCTAATTCTTTACTTTTATATTCTAGTTTGATTGGTATTTTTATTTTGCTAAGTATAAGAATTTATTTCATATTAAAAATAATTAAGTTTTAATTAAGTAATTAAATTATTCATCACTATTTGATTCAATTATCATCAATATATCTTGGTAAATGATAGATTTATCAAAGATCAATTGGTTTTATAGTATTACATTAAAAATGTAGTCGCCCAAATATGTATCTGGTAGTGTATATTTAAGAATAAAATCGATAAATAACCAAAAAATTGACAAAAACTGAATCGATAAAAAAACTGACTTAATTGGTTTGGTTTAGTTCCAATACTTGAAGAACCGACTAAATTGGTTTGGTTTCTTTTTAGGGAAAAACCAATCCAAACCGAATCATGAACACCCTTAGTTATGGGATGAATAATTTAAGAGTTAATACCCTAAAACCCTCTTAAACTATTATGTTTATGTCAGTTTCCTATTTAAACTATTCGGTACTCCCAAAAAACCCCTAAACTATATTGCCCTACATATTTAAACTCTTTTGTTGCTTACCTGGCATAACGTGTGTACACGCTTGCTTGAGAGCGCGCGGCGACTGAAAAAAGCCATCAAAATATTCCACCTAACAAAATGTAATGGCTAATTAGCCAAACCCTCTTTCAACTTTGTTATTGTTTTAAATATTCTCCTTGTTTCCTTTATAACCACCATTCTTTCTTATTTGTCACCTTTCTTTTTTACTTTTTTCATCTTCTTCTTCAAAATTTTCACCTTTTTTCTTTACTGCTTCATATGTGTTCCCTGTGAAAAAATGTCTCCCTCTCTTGTTTCCTTGGAAATAATTTATTTTCTTTCCTTTTTAGTCTTCTTTCATGTCTTTTATATATGTTGTTGAAAGAAAACCCATTTAAATCTTCTTATTAAACCAACACCTTGTTGTAGAGAAAAAACTTGAATCTCTTAAATCTTGTTTGTGTAATTTAGAATTAGAGAATGTAGTTGTTTGCCGATTAGTTTTTTATTTGCGAAATTTTATTTTGTATACTCTTGTTTATGTAATATAAGATGATTTTTTTATAAATGCAACACTATCTGACTTTTTTTTATTGTGCTGCAAAGTAAATGTGAATAAGAAATTATTCAATTGGAGTCTAATATAAAGGACAACCACAGTTAAACCTAAAATTAATTTATTACATTAGATACTATTTTGGCCTCCTCCTAGAATAATTATCACTTATCCGAGAGTAATTCTTCATGTGTACTACATAAAAAAATTTAGTGTAAGCTATAAGTTAATATAATTAGACAGACGCAACCTTAAGAATTCAACATATGGTTTTAATATATAGGGGGATATAGTTCAGAGGGGTTTGGGGGAACTAAATAGTTTAAGCGGATAACTGACAAAAATATTATAGTTTATGGGGGGTTTTAGGCTGGATTACATAGCCACGTGTAGTGCCACATGGCATGTTTTTTAGATAATTAGGAGTGTGTACTAGACACACCTTTAAGAATGCAACGAGGGATTTTAATGACGTAGGAACATGATAGTTTAGAAGTATTTTAGGGTATTAACTCATTATTTAATGACGTAGGAATTGTCATATAGAATTTTTAAAATTTCAGTTAATCAAATATCGATTAACTGCTACATGCAATATATTAATCCCAAAGATGATATTGTACTTGATAAAAATAAATAATGATACCAAAAAGCAGGCACGCAAAGCTTCCAACCAAGTACCCAATAACTCTAAACTTGATACATATATACCATGGAATTGTTTATTCCCACCACAACTTTTGGACAAGTTCCATTACCAAACTAAAAGTTCTAACTAAAAGATTAAAATCTATAATGAAAATTTAGTTGTGTATATGTACAGCGAAGGTTTAAATAATACTAACAACTGAATACTAATAATTTTTTAAGTTTTGACTTTTGAATGGAATGTTCACTGTTACTTTAATAACCTTGTCAAAACAATGTCTTTTTTCCAAAGAAGAGTGGATATACTTCTAAAACGTTACACGTGCTCCACTTGTTTATAACATAAACATACTCTTAAAAGCTGTAGTGCTTGTAAACATATAGTTACTCCATTAATTAAAACATGGCTTGATAAAGTTTGAAATATTCCTTAAATAAAATTAAAAAATATATCCTTCGATCACACTTTACACCTATTCACCCTTTAAATTTCTCTTTTATAAGGAACTCCTCTAATGAGAAACTTCAATTCATTCAACAACAACAACAAACAAAGAAACAATTCAAAGAAAAGCACAAATACACACTTCCAACCAAAAGCTCTATATGGCAACTACTTCAACTCTATTCATTCAAGAATTCACTGAGAACTTCCACTACTCAAGAAGACTACTTCTAATACCAACTACAGTACCACAATACCACACCGAGGCCACCGTGGCGCCGCCGCCTCCGGCAGCCCAAATCAGCCGCGTGAATACATTTGATGCAAATGTTATTATGGTCTTGTCAGTACTTGTATGTGCTTTGATTTGTTCACTTGCCTTGAATTCTATCATAAAGTGTGCATTAAGGTGCTCTAACTTGGTATCAGCGTCCTCAAACTATAGAAATCCTTCAGCTAGCTTAGCTAATACAGGAATCAAGAAAAAAGCCCTCAAAACATTACCGGTTATAACCTACACTACTGAATTGAAATATCCAGGGCTTGACACTGATGAGTGTGTCATTTGCTTATCTGAATTTGCTGCTGGAGAGAAAGTTAGGGTTTTGCCTAAGTGCAGCCATGGTTTCCACGTACGATGTATTGATAAATGGCTAAATTCACACTCCTCTTGCCCTACTTGTAGGCATTGCCTAATTGAAACTTGTCAAAAAATTGTTAATGGTGGTAGTTCCTCTTCTACTACAAGGTCAATTGCAAACCCTCATATAGTTAGCAATACCTCGTCAGCAGTACCAGTCCAAGAAATTATTATAAGGATAGAACCTCTCCAACGTGAAGGTGTTACATCTAACAATCATATTTAGGTAGAAAAATAGGAGTATTATTGATTGGTATGCATCCCATACTCAATTAGAATTAGCTTAGGTTTTTACTTTATAGTTTAGTTGTTTTTTTTCCTTGTTGGAAGAGTTTTAATTTAGCGAGCTAGAGCTAGCATGAGGCCAACGGCAGTGTAGTCTTCAAATGATTCATTAGTCTTGCAAGTGTATATAGAAATTAAATTTTATTTCCGTTTCTTTTCAAAGCATTTTCTTTATTTCGGCAACATTATTAAAGGACGCAATCGAGAGATTGAAAAAAAAAAAACCAAACTAGGCTTTACATTTTAAAATATTCATATAATCTTTTCAAAAGAATTATCCCTTCTTCCCAATTTATATATCATTATTTCCTCGTAAGGCCGTTTTAGGTAAAATGATACATTTTATATTTAAAAGATTAAATTTTAAATTTTTTATTTTAATATATCCTTAAAGAAAAAATTTTATAACTAAACAAATATCGTGACATATTTAAGTTTACAAGTTAAAAAAATATTTAATCACACAAATGTTATGACATGTTAACATCATAAATTTTAAAATAAAAATTTTCTTTCTGTATAAAACTTCTTGTTGATCGGTCGAGATAAGACACATAAATTAGAACGAAAGGAGCAATAGTTAACAGAGACTTTGATGATGTATCCAAGAAGATTTTCTTCCTTTTACTTATAAACCACTAGAATACTTAAGGCTTAAACTTGATTTCCAAACTGATTTTGTATGTTATTGTTAAAGATATTAGTAAGTTAAAATGGTCACACATTTCAACCGTTATAATCATATCACGTGCAACAAATTAGGAGACCAGCTACTCAATTAATCTTATCTCGAAATAGAAAAATATTTCGAACAATTTAGAAGGACTATGTTGCAAATATTTGATGATAAGGCAATTTCTTATCTCTAGTTGTCAAGGTAAAAGTAAAGTGCTAAATTAAAATCTTTTCAAAAGGCTAACCCTCAAGTGTTCTGAGGAATATCCACATGCACTATATTGTGTTGGTGGTTTTGGCGATAAACGTAGAAGAAATCCTCTTCCCAATCCCACCAACACTAAAAGAAAATATTTGATTGAGACATTTAATGAATCCATACTCACAACGTCTACATATAGCATTGTCAGAAAAATAATTTGAAAAAAAGATGAAGGGTCCCAACAATTTCATGAACCTCATCTTTATTGTAATGGGAGAGTATCACATTCATAATTTTATGCTCAATTAACCTTATTGCTGTATATCAATCATTTCCTATCACTATGTAGTAAAGTGCCACCGCGCGCCCCTTTTCTTTGGCTCCACACCACATGGGATTTCTGAATTCTATTAAGGTGTTCAAAAGGATACATGTACCATAATAGTTGTACTATTCACTCTTAACTCTTAGGTGTCTTTCTTCCATTTTTGTAAAGTTAGTCAACAATGCTTTAATTATTTAAGTGGTGTTGTTTCTTTGCAGCTACTGATATCTCCTTGTAACGTATAGGTTATGGGTTAGAGCCACGCATGTAACAGCCTAATTCATTAATAATATTGTCCGCTTTGGACCTAAATTCGCACCACTTTAAAGCGCGTCACTAGAGTCTAAAACTTATTTACTTATTTACCCAACATATTTCCTGTGTTTTGTCATTGTGAGATTCACATATGATATCACATACACCCCCCCTTTAGGGCCTCAGGGTCCTCGGTGAAGTTTGCCCCCCATCGTTCAAGGTTGCACGTGGAGTGGCTCTGATACCATATGTAACAGTCCAACCCACTAGTAATATTGTGCGCTTTGGGTCTAGACACACACGGCTTTAAATCGTCACTAGGGTCTAAGGCTTGTTTACTTATATACCCAACATCTCTCCCGTATTTTGTCGATGTGGGAATCGCCTAAGATGTCACTCGTGGAATCAGCCGTGGATGCTTGTATCAGGATAGGCTGACAACATCATACTCCCTTAAAGTACGATCATTTTTCAAATACTGCGTGAATGCGGGATACTTTATGCACATACCTTTTTTTTTTTGTATGTTTCTTTGGAGCCATGGACAAATATTAATTTAGTTATCCATTTAAATATACAAAAGAGATAAAAATGTTAAGGCTAGCTGCTTCAGATGTTGCCGCTGCTTTGGTGGGCTCAAAGTAGGAAATCAATGTTATTCCATCTGTATTAATATAATGAATAATGAAATAGTAAACTTTTTAAAACAGAAAACAGAAATAGAAAGTTAGCAGCAACAGAATGTCGAAATAATATTTGAAAATAATTTCAGAATAAATCAAGCCCACTGAATGCACAGTGTATCCTTAAGTAAATTATTCCCCTCAAGTACCCGAGGTACTAGAATATTATCCTCTCAGGATAAATCGATTTAACTCACCAGTGTATTGGTACCAAAAACTCTGATGAACTTCGAACCACTCAATGGTTGTAAAACACAAAAAAATTGTGCACAAGAAGAAGAAGAAGATCAAAAAAATTCATAAGGAAAGATTCTGGGATCAAGGCATATTTGGCACTGTTTCTGAAAAGGTTTGCAACCTTTCAAAAATAGCCATGAATGTACAGGTGGGAACATTTCCCGTTTGAAATATTCCAGGAAAAAAGATTTAAAATAATCTGGGAAAAAAACGGACCGGGTTGAATTTTCGTACCGGGTCAATCAATCGATCTTTGGCCTAAGCCGAGCGAGCGACGACGACAACGATGTGAGGCTTACTTTCTTTCCAACCCATCTAAAACCAAGAGAAGTGCTTTCTCAAGTGTCCCTCATCACCAATGAGGGACACTTGCTCTTTCCAAAGCAAAAGGGAGCTTACTTTCCCTTCACTTTCTTTCCTCCATTTCCCATTCACCAATCTTTTAATCCCAACAATCAAATGCAGGCATAAAAGCATTTTGTTGCAATAGGTGGCAAATCGTAAATATGGTGAGGACCGTTTTGATCGCTATTTCAAAATTTAGTAGATATCTTTTATAAGATATCGATGGACATGTTTTCAAGTGCTTGAAATCTAGAATGTTTCATGTAATGTATACGCACATATAGTATTTCTTAATTTGACTATATAATTTCCTTTTTCTGATGCTTAGAAACTAATTGAGAGTAATATTTGTGTTTGGCATTATGGATTTATACACTGTTGGATGAATTAAAGTGAATAATTTAAAAACTCATTGTTGTGTTATAAAATAAAGACTGTAAAGTAAAGACAAGTATAGAGAGAAACTGATATATTATTCAAACTTCAAACTTATGTACATAATGAACTGAAAACTCTTCTATTTATAGAAGAAAGGAAGCAGCTGCGAGGCTTTTCAGGAAGCTGCTGCAAGGCTTTTCTTTAGCTGCTTGTAAGCTGTCTGCATGAGCTGCTTGCAACCTGCCTGTTTAATAAGAAGGTGCTGCAAATCATTTCATTGAGCTGCTTGCAATCTGCCTGCATCAGCTGCTTGTAGATAAAGTTCAACAAAGTACTGAATGGATAATCTTCTTCAGGAAAATTATCTATAGCAGAGTAATAAATGGACATCCACAATATAATTATTTTCATAACACCCCCCCCCCCCCCCTTGGATGTTCATTAAAAGGTATTGTGCCTCGTTAAAACCTTACTAGGAAAAAACCCTTTGAGAAAAAATCCTAGTGAAGGAAAAAGATTACACATATTTAGTAATACGCATTGCTAGCTGCCTCATTAAAAACTTTATAAGGAAAACTCTGTGGGAAAAAACCTTAGTAAGGAAAAAAGAATACATCGCGTATTTTACTCCCTTTGATGAAAACCTTGTTTTAAATATTTGAGTCTCCGCATTCCAATCTTGTATACCATCTTCTCAAAAGTTGAAGTTGGTAAAGATTTAGTGAGTAAATCTGCCGGATTGTCACTTGAACGGATTTGTTGCACATCAATGTCACCATTTTTTTGAAGATCGTGTGTGTAGAATAATTTTGGTAAAATGTGCTTCGTTCTATCTCCTTTTATAAATCCTCCCTTCAATTGGGCTATGCATGCAGCATTGTCTTCGTATAAAATTGTGGGTCTTTTCTCACATTCCAAACATATTTTTCTCGAATAAAATGAATTATTGATCTTAACCATACGCATTCCCTACTTGCTTCATGAATAACTATTATTTCAGCATGATTTGAAGAAGTAGCAATAATAGATTGCTTTGTGGAGTATCATGATATGATAGTACCTCCACATGTAAACACGTACCCGGTTTGAGATCGAGTTTTATGGGGATCAGATAAATAACCTACATCTGCATAACCAATAAAATTTGCACTACCTTTGTTAGCATAAAACAAACCCATATCAAGAGTTCCCTTTAAATATTGTAAAATATGCTTAATCCCATTCCAATATCTCCGAGCAGGAGAAGAGCTATATCTTGCTAGAAAATTAACAGAAAATGCTATGTCAGGCCTTGTAGCATTAGCAAGATACATAAGTGCACCAATTGCACTGAGATAGGGTATTTCAGGACTAAGGAGTTCCCCATCCTCTTCTGGAGGTCGGAACGGGTCCTTATTTACTTCAAGTGATCGAACAACCATTGGTGTACTCAATGGGTGCGCTTTGTCCATGTAAAAGCATTTTAAGACCCTTTCTATATAGGCAAATTGATGCATAAAGATCTCGTTTGCTAAATGTTCAATTTGCAATCCAAGATAAAATTTTGTCTTCCCAAGATCTTTCATCTCAAATTCTTTCTTAAGATATTCAATTACCTTTTGAAACTCTTCTGGAGTTCCAACAAGATTTATGTCATCAACATAAATAGCAAGTATAACAAATTCTGAAGCCATTTTCTTTATAACAATACATGGACAAATAACATCATTTATGTAACCCTCTTTCAGTAAATATTCACTAAGGCGATTATACCACATGCGCCCAGATTGTTTTAAACCGTACAAAGATCTTTATAATCTGATTGAATACATTTCCCGAGATTTCGCATATGCTTCAGGCATTTTAAATCCTTCAGAAATTTTCATGTAAATCTCATTATCAAGTGACCCGTACAGATAAGCTATAACCACATCCATCATACGTATTTCAAGCCTTTCACGTAAGGGTAAACTAATGAGATATTGAAATGTTATGGCATCCATAACGAGTGAATATGTTTCTTCATATTCGACTCCAGGTCGTTGTGAGAATCCTTGTGCGACAAGGCGAGTCTTGTATCTTT